AAATTTTAGTTCGAGAAAGAAACCGTATTTTTCATTGGCGCACCTAAATCTAATGAGAGAACAAACTAAAGCTGCAGAAATTCTAAAAATTGAATACATATTTGGAGTTGTGACCATTTAAAATCCAATTTCCGTCGCGATGATCGATGAGATTGTTTCGCAAGAAGAAAATATAATCAATTACTTTTTTACAACATATGGCTCTGACATATCTATATACGACTGCACTAAATCTAAAGCTATCGCTAAACTATGATTAACTGGTAACTTGGTATCAAATTTTTATGACACAAGAAAATAATTACTTTTATAATCATATTTACCGATTCCTTATTTGAGTTTTAGTAGAGAACAGTCACGTCGAGGAATAAAGTTTACCACAAATCGAGTTTCCTTCTGCTCAACTTTGAAGCAAACTACATACTGTGAATAATGAGAAGAAGCCTTTGAAAAAGCTAAAAATTATGTCAATAACAAAGTCGATTATGTGTCCACAGACAAGCACAAAGCTTCCTTCTTCGAGTCAGTAATTACGTAACGCAACCGACACCCAATCCAAAACAAAACAACTTAATTAAAATTTTATATAAATAATTCACTGACCACGCAACAAACACAAGTTGGAAATCGTGTTTCAAACAACGACATGCTGTCAAAGTTACTATTTATGTTTATAATGCAGAGAGTGTCGAGCTTTTGCTTTCAGAATCAAAATTGATTAAAGCTATATTTTCTAGGAAAACTCGGTTGTTTACTATACAAACCCAATTACAGATATTTTAGCATTTTATCGACTTTATCAATTAGCCTAATTTTATCCCCTTTCATTTATTTGGAAACTAAACTGAAGCAGAATGACTCGGATGATAATTGTTTACAATTTGGCACACCTCCTTTTAAAACAAATTAAGTCATTTAATTAATAATTCATTAATGTGCGTGTGCCCACCAGTCATAAATCTTCCAAACTTTAGAAAAGACAATTCTAAAAGCAGTTCTTTGCTCTGATATTTGATACAGTTGATAAGCAGTCATTCCATACACGCAAGTCATTAATGACGTAGCAATTATAAAGATTGTCTTTAATAAAACCAAATTCAACCAAGATACTTTTCGACTGATCTATTAAACTTAATAGGTATTTTTATGCACATAATAGTAAAAGGCAATACGCAATAACGTTTTGTAATTGTTTTCTCTTTGATTATAACTTGATTTGAAATGTAAAACAGTTAAGTAATTTGCATCCACAATTAAATTTTCATGGTGAGACGCGTTACATAAAATAAATTACTGATACTAAGTACAATTAAGATGTCCATCTAATACATCCGCTGTTTAATCTACCCCAACAAAGATCTATTGTACAGGGTCTGCAAAATATCCACTTTAATCCCTAGCGTCAAGCTGATGGTTGAAATATTTAGTACTAGGTGTAATAGGTGTAACCTACGGCCTATTCTCTCCACATGTGGTGAGAGCTTTGATAATTATTAATGAAGAGTCGTAATCGGATTTGACGGCAAATATTTTGACTATTAGCGCCAATGATCCGCCTAGGGACATTATTTATTACATAAATGCCTACCCTACTCAATGGTAAGTGTCACATTTTAAATCAAAACATACTCACTGCAAAAATCAAATTGACATTATTTCAAGTCCTTGACTGCGTGTTATCCGCTTTCACTACTTTGCAAAATTCATCACTTTAAAATAATCAACTATCCACTCTGAAACGATGACAGTAAAGTCCTCACTGTAATATTGTCCATTGTCTACTAAAATAAAACGATACGACCACTGCTAGTGCCAGCATGTTATTACATCTGAATATTCTCTACTGCATAACAATATTGTTTTAAAATTCAAATGGTTAGTCAATAGTCAGTGTGTAATTGCTATTTTACATTTTCTTCAACGGATATTCACTTTTTAGCTACATACTTAATTACTCAACGAAACGTATCCAGACTTTCGCAAATAAACATTTTTCAAGATAAACTGGAGCTAATTCTTAAGTCTATTGTGGCGATTCTCATTACGAAACCAATTTGTCCTAACTGCGTTATTTGTACTTAGTGAAATAATGTCTCAAGTTTATATTTATCTAGAATTTAATTAAAAAATTTCTTTTAAACTCTTAATTATCAAATTATGTGATAAAAGTGAACTTTCTGAAAGCTGTGGAGGTGTTTAATGAAGGCTGTTTTTATTTCCCAGTTAAAAAAAATACATGACACCTAAATAAAATCTATAATAATTTCAAGCTAGGTATATAAAGCCGTTTTTCATTTATGGAATTCACTGAATAAAAGTTTTAATAGCTACAAATTTTGTTTGTTTTATGTTTTCGTCCCTAAAAAATTTTATACCAATTTTTGGTTACCTATTTATGTTGATTAAGAAGATTGTTATGAAGGGTATTAAGAAATTACGCAATAAATTTTGTGTAAATTTTTAGAATTGAGCTTCTAAGATTCTTTGTCAGATTTTATTTTTATTTTTCACAAAAATTGTATTTTATTCAATCCTTGTTTAACTACATTTTCGAAACTAAAAATTAAGACATAACTATTAAACCTGTATTTAATTTTATACCCAAATATCACTAACGAACTTTTTATTAGTAGTACTTTTATATTTTATTTATGGACTTTGTATGTTTTCGTTTGCAAGTTTTAGGTTTAATCCCTTTTTTTTATTAAAATTAAATGACATTTTCATCATAATTAAACAAAATGCTGAACTTCAGATAAATATTTTGTATTAAAGTTACTCCAATTGCTAATGATACTCCAATGATCCTTAATCTTCTATGACACAAAATTTCAATTTTATTCCCGAATTTTTTATTTATGCTTTCTGAAAATCTCATTTTGACCAATAAGAACAAAATAATTCCACACGGAAGTATGAAAACCATTGGAATATACAAACTCGCGGATCAGAGAAAAATGCCAAGTAGGTAAACACCATCAGGATCATAGAATAGTATATTAAAGTACAAGTTGCAGAAAGTCAAGCACAAATTTGAAATTCCGAAACGAGCCGCGAAGCGGCGAGTTGAGGAACAAATGAGTGCTTGAAGAACCTTCTGCAACAAGTGCTTTATACTATTTTTTTCTATTTCACCGCTTTATATCATTTTATAAATTAAAAAACGAAAATAAAAATTTTTTTTTCAAGAGAATTTTGCGACGGTTGGCGACATTTATGTGTGGAATAATTTTAGGCGGCTGTAAAAAATAAAAATTATTCTTATTTTCACATTTGAAAATGAATTGCGAAGAAAGTCCGTCACTAAAATTAAATTACCGCGAACGACTTATTCCAGCACGCAAATGACGTCATTTGGGTGCTGGAATAGACCTATTCTAACACCGAAATAGAAAAATAATGTTAAAAAAGTTTAGGCTATAAGAATTTCGAAATTATGGGGGTTTAAATTTTGCACTTTGTTGATTTCTTTTGGCAAAATAATTTTACATGTTTTTTTACTGCAGGCTATTTGTAGAGGAAACAAATAAGAAACTGTATCCTGAATTGTAACCATGTTTAATGTTATTTGTGGCTTTTATTGACAAAGGTTTTGTACCTTTACTGAATAATTATGAAAAAGCATATATCGAGAGATCAAGATAATTTGTAATCGAGTCATCATTGTATCCGAAAACGTATGTCTGTTTTCAAACTAACTGCACGTGAAACGTCAAATAAAATGACAAGTCGAAACGTAAAACGGCAAAATGGGCTGGAATTAGTCGCCCACGTACTCGTATAACAATAGGACCGTTTTTGTTTGAAGGTAAATCATAAATTTAGTTATTAAAGCCATCATCTTTTTGATAATGCCATTTTACCTTTCGACTTGTCATTTTTTTTGACGTTTCACAGATACGTTTTCGGATCCAAAGTTGACAAATTATCTTGATCTCTCATTAAGATCATCGGAAACATTAGATAGATAAAAAAATGTCAAAAAATTAATGTCAAAATTTTTTTGAAGCTATAATTTTTTAAACATTTTTATATTCCTAGTAACTTATCTTACTTGGCATTTTATCTGATTCGAGAGTTCTGAGACATCCTGAATTTCTTATTTAGTAATACAATTTTTAATAATAAAAACTGTGATTATAGTCTTAAACAATGTAGATTGCTCATCACCAGCTTATATACTCCAAAAATTGTTTCTGGAAAGATATTTTTGAAAATAAATAGACATTTACCTTTGCTCGTTACTTGCATTTATTTTATTCTGGAAAAACAACGAAAAAATAGATTTAGCTAAATAAGATTTTATTAATTGAATAAATTGTTGTTTTACAAAAAAACATTTCTCGCCTACGACGCATTTTAAAAATAGGTATCGCCTGATACCTGAAATTGAAAGTTAATGAACGATATTCACAAAGTTACATTAATATAAAAACAAGTTAAAAATATGTCTGTTTAAAAGCAAGGCAATGAATACTAATAAAAGATAAAGATATAAATATGATATAAAACGTAATTGTATAAAAAACAATTTTTGTTTCTTCAAATTATTACTCAACTTATTATCAAGTGTAAATTATTTACACGAAGACGAGTTGAATACAACATTTTATTCTTCAAATTAGACTCAACAAGGCTTAAAATTAAAAATAATCTAACGTTTCGTATTGAAAAATGCCAAACAGTTGTCAAAACTTCCTTACACAGGGGAAAAACCGTAAATTTTGACAGTGTCAAAGAATAAAATCAATATTTTTGTATTTATCTAAATATGTATAATGTCAAGAAAAAAAAAATATGTTCTGCTCTGATCTAATTAAAATATTTGGATATGTGTCACGCAGTGTATTTACACGTAGAAAATTTTTACAAACTGAATGTTACATTGGGTACATTGTCCTGTTCATGTTAACACCTCCAATAGTCACAAACGTGCATTGTTGTCGATTTATTTGCGATGCAAATCACACTTGACTAAAATGTATCGAATAATAACTCACCGTCCTCGTCGTCATCATGAGCGCCACTACACTCCCTGCAAACGGCCGTCCTTTGTCCTCTTCTCGCCATCTGCTGCAAGGCCAACAGCTGCTGCTCCTCCAACTCCATATCCTTGTATCCCTCCGGAGGACTAAGAGTGACCGCATCGACAAACTCCAACGGCGGTGCAAACTTAGGACTTTGAGGTGTTTGCTCGTAACCATCGTACACATTACAGTTACAATTGGGTTCACAGCACGTCAACCGCACCATTTCATGCTGATTACAGGTGCAGACACCATCGTCATCCTCTTCGTCGTAGTCGCACTCCTCCCGGATGAGGATGATGTAGTCGGCATCGAAAAACTCGTTCTTGTTCTCATTAAACACAACCCGATTACTGCGTTTATCCTTGTTCTTTCCAGGCCTCTTCAAGAGCGATTTGAGGTTGTCGCGGTCGGGGTTGTGCTTGGCGCGCTCGCCGTCGATGCCCATGGTGTCGTCGGTCACTTCCTTAAGCTCATCATACACCTCCCAATGGGTGATTGGAGAGAAGGAACCCACCTGGCGCACGTCGAACTCGCACTTGACGATGTTCTGATTAGCGTCGTAATCAGGGGATTTATCGACCACCTGTTCTAAAGGCCCATCGGTGATGCCCGCCTCCTTCAGCTTCTGCTCCAGGTACTTGAGTCGGGACCTGCCCTCGTCTACCCGCCTGTTGAGGTCTTTGCTGCTGAGCAGCGTTACTTCGTCGTTGTCGCTATCAGCTGACTCCCCCGGCCCATTCTCCTCGAAGACGAGTCGCCCGTTCTCGAATTTCCAACTCAGGTGTTTGCACTGCTGGGTTTCACTTTCGTCATTTGTGTTTGAGGCACAGATGATGGGATTAGGAGGCTCGGCGACGCAGACCTTGGCGGTCGAAACGCGACTGCACCCCGACGCCTGTGCGCATTTTGCGACGCCGATTGCGATCGATGGGCCCGTCGTCGGCGACTGCTCCGCTGCGGCCTCGACGGGAGGTTCATTCATTGCCTCGGCACTGGCATACACTCGCGGTGTGTCACCAGGCGCGGCGCTGCCCACGACTGCATTGTTACAACACTGATTGGGGGACTCCTCGGACCGAATTCCTTCGACCTCTGCCCGACAGCTCGTATCGCCGGTTTCCGCCAAACATGCATTATCGCCGTCACGGGAGGATGGCTCGCGGTGGCCCTCTTCCGGCTCGGCTTCCTCGCACCGAAATTCCTCAGGTGCTTCCAGGATGGGGGCCACCTCCAGATCGGCACAAGACTGCGAAATAAATCCCTCCCTTGTTGGTATTCCATCTGCGTCGGACAAATCCCAGCTGGTCTCTGAATCTTCGATTTTAAGCTCGATACCACCTGATTTCCGCCTGACGGGTATCTTTGATACTCGCTTGTCCTTTAGTTTCTTCGTTGTGTCTTCGGTGTTGGCTAAATCGGGATTTTCTTTCGATTCTGCACCGCTGTCTCCGTCCCCACTTTCTCTCGCTTCTTTGGAAATAGGGGAAAAATTCAATTCGTCACTCATCAAATTTACATCCGGAGTGATGCACTCGGAATCACTACTCGAAGTTGCGTCCATGTTTTCGAGTTTCATTATTGAAAATGCAAAAACTTTCGATTTGTTACTTCATTTTTCTCGATGATGGGAATGCCAAATTAATTTAATTAGTCTGAAACAAAAAAGTATTGTTATAATATGGAAGCTAGACGACTTTGAAGCTAACTATACAATGGTTGCATAAAAACGCAAATTTAATAATTTGCTATTTTAAATATTCATTTTCACTTGAAACAACAATTTAATTATTTTTTGCTTGAACCAAGGTTATTTTTAAATATATGGGATTGCTTGAGGAGGTTGGATTACAACGATTAGGGTTCGTATTGTAACTTTACAATGCTTGTTCATTTTTAATTCTTACCAACTTCACAATACAATTGCATATGACATTTTTATAATACAATGACTAGTACATTAACCCATAAAGTAGACTTTAACAACCAGTACTGTTACGGACTAGCTACCTGTTAGATACGCCAATATAAAAATGAATGTAATAACTTCCGTTTTGTAAAATTGATAACCAGGAACATGTAGATATAATTTTATCAAAAATGGATTTCTAGAACAGCAATTACAAGCAAATATTTGACCATAAATCCTGTTTTATTATTTCATTTTCATTTTTCATCATTTATTCAGTGATAAAATGTTTATTCAAAACGGTCCTAATTTTTGTTAATTTTTATCCCTCTTTAATTTTCTACAAATTTCTGTTCCTTGTGTTAGAAAGTTTTGAAATTAGAGGTCTCAATTTTTGGCTAATGATGGCAAAAGTTTTGTCGAGACATGTCCCTTTTTGACCGTTTTGAATAAACATTTTATCAATGAATGTGGAGTTGACTTTGATACATTCATATTGTCAATTTCTATTGACAAATATGTTATTGTAATAATTTACAATAAATTAGAAAAACATGAACAATACGACCAATTTGATGATCAAAAATTTGTGATTATTATAACATACAAAACAAAAAGTTGGAATTTTTGTCTGCCTTAAAATGTATACAGGTTGAGTCTTAACTTAAATGCATAATTTTTGGGTATGATATCATATTATGCCAAATATGTAATAACTAATAGTAAAAATAGTGTTAAAAATACTATTAGACTTTAAAATTTTAGATAATTCGTCCCGATGACACTAATGTCGACATTACATTTGTTCACGCCATGTCTATCAAGTGAATCATTTTTTTTATTTAGGTGGGGTTAAGTGGTATTTTTTATTGATATTCGACAAAATAAAAAAGTTTTAATAAACTTATATTTTTTTACTTATTATTGATAATAATCTTTCATTTCCTAACTTTATGCGTTAAGATTCACCCTGTAGAAACTTCAATTTTTTGATATTAGTTATAACAAAATTTAACAAAATAGAAAATAGCTATTTATTGTAAGAGTGTGTTAGGTAGCGTTTTACCCACGCAAGAATGTTTAATCGCGAGAACGTGAGTTCGAGCGGTTAATTTTCTTAAGTGGATAAAACGCGACTAACACACGACTGCAATATAACGTTTATCCACAATCACAGGCCCAAATTATTCCAAACCTAATTAAAAATTAAACTGACATTTAAACGTCACGCCAAATGTGCTTTCGGTTAAACGTTGTAAGCTGTTACGCGGTGCGCTGGTTACTAACAGTGGATAAACTGGTACTTTATACGCATCTAAAGTGTGGAATAAAGTCTCTTTATAGAGTGATTGTGGATAAAATATTTTTTTTGATGATTATTATTATTAGATGGACAGAATTTTCCCATATTGTGTCCTTTCCTTTTACTTATTATTTTAATAAATCTTCTTTCACATTCAGAAATTAATTAGTTTCTTCAACTACCTTTAAGATAATCTCACATAAAGTAAACTATACGAGCAAAATTGAGAAAAGATATAAAAATAAAATTTTAATGAAAATAACACAAAAGGATCTCCTGCTTGAAACTTGAAGCTGAAAATACAGAAGCCTGAGATAAAGAATCCTACTTTTTTTAATTTGAGGAAGTGCGAATAATTTTCTAACCTTTGTGCTAAAATCTTCTAAAGCTGGAAATTTCCGTTTATTTATATTCCATTGAAAATTAAAGTGGTACAGAAACCGCCATTTAAATACTTAATCAGCATAACCCTTAACATTATCAAAGAGACTGATAATTTATTCAACCGGTGCTTTTAAAGCGCGAAAATATTCGGTTTAATATAAAACCAACAGAATGAAATTAAAAGTGGAACAAAACGGTAGCTGGATTTCGCTCTCTAATGGCGTTTATACCATGAATTTGTGGCAGGACAATGTGGCAATTAGGTGGTCCAACCCCGAATCACCTCATTCGCTCGCATGACTAACCCTCTAAAGGTACAGAATTGCTCGCACAAAAAATTACTTTAACACAGGTTCAAAAGTGATGAGTGCGCTAAATTGGTTTAGAAAATTAATTATTGCAACGGCAATAATTGGGTCAGTGGCAAAAACTTTTGATTTTTTTTGTGGACAAAGTTCGGCTACTGTTAGAAGAACTTGTATTGTTAAGTTTGCGTCACATGTTTATGGTTAGAAGGAGTTTAGAGGAGCAATATCCTTTTAGAGCAAATTAAAGTTTATTTCGCATGGAACTGGCAAGGGAATTTAGGAACAACGAGTATTTACTAGGACACGTACAGCCTATTTCAGATAAAAGTGGACGATGGGTGAAGGGCGAAAATTCACTCTTGTAGGATTAAGAAATTTAGGCATTGCGAGATTTACTTTATTTAGGAAAATAAGATGTGTGTCTGGACATCAAGATTGAGTGCTGGTTGTCTGAAAATGGAGTACAAAAAGCACGAAACTGCTTGTTAAAATCCTCACGTTTAAGTTAATAATTCTGACCTTGCATCCAAAATCCTCTCTCGTTTCATCCGCTTATAAATCATTTTAGATATGAACCATAAGAGTCTGTACAAAATAAAAATGAATTATGCAGCGTCGAAAAGTACCTCGATTAAATGAGCTTTTTTATATTGTCAATTTTCTAAATCCCTGTTCCAACTTCAAAGGGGAAAGTTTTTAATGTGCTGCTTTTAACTAACCAAAGTTTGTTGGTTGTTCAAAGCACTGTAATTAATTGATATTTAAATATTTTCAAAATGTGTTTCCGTTGTTCGCAGCATGAAATTTCGTTTATTCAATTTCCATTTTTCGTTTTGATATTGGCTGGAAAATACGGAAAATTAAATTTGTACAGTTCACTCACCTGCAACTTAGATAAAAAAAATGTAAACAGAACGTCTGGAAGTTGTTGCCCTCGAGATAATTTCTGCTAACTATAGGTAACTCTTAAACAATAGGCTATTTTTGAACAATGTATTGTGTTGTAATTGATTGGTATTGCAAATTGGTTTTGGTAATCATCTTTGTGGATCACAAATGTGACGGTATTTTTGTTACAAACGCGTGACAGAAATCACTAAACCTTTATGCTAATTTACTTTTACGGCAAACACTGGAAACTAAGAACAGAGAAATGGGGTTTTTAGGAATAAGCTTTTATTTTAATTACATGCATGGTAACAATAGTAATATGTTTTTGATTTTTAACATCTCTTCTAATTTGCATGATGTTCTAAGCTTAATTTATAAAATAATTTTTATACGAATTTTTAACATTCGCCAAGCCTATTAAAGCCTTTCATTTTTTTTTATAACCGATGTAAATTTTTAAATTTTATGATAATTTTAAACAGGCTATAGGGAAAAATGGAAAGCAACAATTTTTTGCAAAAATAATATGAAAAGAGTTTTCTAATCAAATTATTATTTTATCGTTTAGATCTAAAAACAATGTGCAAAATCCTTATTAAAGATGATTTATTGAGGCATTTTCCACACCCTACAGCAATGAAGAATCGTTTTAAAGTGGTTCTTAAATAGAAACTATAAGTAATAGCCTTAAATAGTTCTCAGAGTAATTTAACAGACAATTGAATGAAAAAAGTTTCTCTTCAATTTGCTGTTCTAATTTTGCGTGATAAAGAAATAAATCAATTTTGCAATAAAAACAATTAATTTGCACTACACTAACACTCGGTTTTGTAAATAAACGAACCATTTTCCTGGCTTCTATTGTCTAAGTTGCTGCTTACATTAGACAAAAATGCCTTTCCACATTTATTACTAATAAAACGTACAACAATTTTGAAAAAAACTGAAACCGCCTGAAAACCCCCTCCAACACTTCAAAACCTTCTGTTTTGTGTTTTGATGTGAAAAGTAAAAATATTTTCAGTTTCTTCAGTAAAGTAATCTTATATGTATGTTATATTTTATTCTTGGTATTCAGAAAAGATATTTCTAATACAAGTATGTTAGTCAAGTTTCAGACTTACATTGCGTTTGCAATCTCACACAATAATTTAAACTTTTCAAATAAAAATCTTTCACAACGCCGAGTAAAATTAAATTGTCTCAATAATTGCAAACGCAATTAGCAAAATACAATTAGCAAAATTGTATTTTTTTCAAAATTTGCAAAATTTGAGCAAATTAAATAAACCTAATAGCTTATAACGTAACTCTAATCTGTTCGCCCCAGGTAAACGCCCTTTCCACTTATAAATGCACCCCTCAAGTTCCACAAATTGAATTCATGAATGACATCAATATTTGTAGAATATTTAAAATCAGATTCAAAATTTTTTCCTAAAAATTTTATTTAAAAATGAGTGGTTGTTAAAAATTTATAACATGCAGCAGAAGACTCGGAATATAAGCATAATTTCCGTCATTTTTTTGATCGTTCATTCCATTTCCACATATCATGGCTAGAACATGAAACAAAAACAAAACGCCAGATGCTTTTATCCATCCATTTGATACGTCCGAATTTCCATAACAAAAAGTAAAATCGCGAAAACTGCGGTCCAACATTCACACAGCAAAATTAATCCACCGACCTTTTATGTTCCTCAAGCGGGTTTGAAGCTGGTATTAGTTGATGCTGTGTTATCTTAAAGAACATCTCAAGCCCAACAAACTTATTATCAGAGTAGCACTCCACTCCGAAGCAAAACACAATGACTATTACTGCACAAGTACAGTAGTACCACCCACACTTCGCATACG